GGACTTGAACTCAGGACCTCCGAAAGAGCAGCCAGTGCTCTTAATTCTGAGCCATTTCTCCAGCCCCCACAGGTGTTCTTAATCTTCAAGTAGGTTTGGATTACAATGAAACAGCCTTTCATTCCATTGTTAAGCTTTCCCTTCACCATTTTTTAGGGTAGGCCTTGTGGCAATTAACTTCCCTAGCTTTCATTTATTTGAAAATATTCGTTTCTCTCTCATTATAAAAAGGGCCATTTTCAGTGATTTTAGAGTTCTTATTTTATTTCTTTTGAAAATCTCTTTCAGTGTTCAGTGTTCTCTCTCTCTCTCTCTCTCTGTGTGTTTGCACAGTTGCATGTGTGTGTGTATGTGTGATATTCTTTGCTTTCTGGTCTGTAAAGTTTCTTGCTGACAAACTGATAGTGTCAATTGAGTATCACTTTAATGTAATGAATATGTTTTTTTTTTGCTTTGAATTTTTCTCTTTCACTTTGTCTATCAACTATTTAAATAGAAGATGTCTCAACATGAGTGTCTGCTTTTCTTATTTGAGCTCACTGAGATTCTTGAGTGTTCAGATTCAGGTTTCTGTACAACTCTGGGGCATTTTTTGTCATTGTTTCTTTAGACAATCTTTCCCCTCTCCTCTGGAACCACCACAGTGTATACATGGGTCTACTTGATTATAGTCCATATATTCCTTCAAATTTGTCCACTTTCTCCATTTATTTATTTTTTTTGTTTCTTCTTTGACTCAATTTCAGATGCCTTGTTTTCAGGTTTCATTCTATTCCTTCTATCTGCTCAATTAAATTGCTTACTATCTCTTGAATTGCTGACTCAATGCCACAATACAGTTACTGTATGTTCAGGTCCCGGAATTTCTAGTGCTTTTATCATTTTTTGTTACTTTTTATAATTTTTATTTTTCTTCATTGATAAGCTCATTTTATCTTATTTTAATGAAAACCTTAGTAGTTTGGGCTTCTTTTTAGCCCTTTGAATATATTTAAGACACTGTGGGGGTGGTTAAGAACACTTGAGTCTCTTTCAGAGGACTAAAGTTTGGTTCCCTGCTCTTCTTGTTAGTACACAACTGCCTCAAACTCCATCTCCAGGAGATCTGATGAACTCCTAGAGCACCTACACTTGTGTGCTCATGTGCACACACACACACACACACACACACACACACACAAAGAGCTAAAAAGAAAATAAATCCTGACAAGGAAGATTGTTGTCTTAAGGTCTCAGACTAAGCCAGGCATTGTAGAATGAGCTTGAATGACCTGCACTCAAGAGTCTGAGGCATGAGAACTGTAAGTTTGAAATCATCCATCCCGGGTTATATAATACAGAAAAATATCTTGTATCAAAACCAAACCAAAGCAAAAAACCCCAATAGCTGGGAGTGGTACACATGCCTTTAATCCCAACACTTGAGAGGCAGAGGCAGGCAGATAGTTTGAGGCCAGCCTGGACTACAGAGCAAGTTCCAGGACAGCCAGAACTGTGACTCAGAGAAACCCTATCTGTAAAAACCAAAAAACTAAAACCAAAATCAAAACAAAATGAAAAACAAAGAACTGTTTAACTTGTTACTCCTTGGCCTATGTTCCTCTGTGGATGGTGTATAACTTTATTTTCTTTCTTTCTCTGAATGTGATAGATTTTAAAAAAAACTGTTGTTTTGTACACTTTATAGGGTTCTCTATTGACAAAAATTATGAATTTTAAAAACCAAACATTTCTTGCAGTTTTTTTCTTTTTAAATTGGTCTTGTGCCAAAATAGCCCTTCATCAGTTAATTGATTATATTCTGTATTCTTTCATCAGACTGTGGAAGAAGTCTGAAGTTTGTCATTATTTGTTTTTAGAACATGCATCTCTCAGTAGTGTTTTGTGTGGCTTGTATACACGCACACACACACACACACACACACACACACACACACACACACACACACACGCCTTCTTCAGTGCAGTCTCACTGGGTATACTAACCACACATCAGATTTCAGGGTATGTTCGGTAGTAGATGGCCAAAATAAAATGAACTTCATACTAATTTTGTAGACATTTGATCTCATAATACTTTGAACTTTTTTTTGTTTCACTGGTCTCTTGTTTGTGTATTTTGGTTTATGATTTTTTTTCTTGTGTGCCAGTTCCCTATTTCTGTTTGTTTTTTAGAGAGAAAGGAATCGGTGAGTGTGTGTGTGTGTGGGTATGGAGGATCTGGAAGGAGCTCGTGGAGGACAAAAGCATAATCAAAATATACCGTATGAAAGAATATTTTCAATAAAAACGGCAAAAATATCTACTCTACACACCGTGTGTGCATGTGTGCACTCTTTTAAATGTCTTAACTCTTGCAGAATTTTATTCTACACTGTATTTACACTTTTACCTTCATCTATAAACTGCGGCCCCATTTGTCTAAAAACGACTATTTCTCTGCGGCTGTCCTAGGCAGCGTCTACTGCATCTCTCCCCCTAAGCTCAGATGAGGTGAACTAATGGCCAGTCCTTCAGGAACCCCTTGGACAAGGTGGGCTGCTCCAACCAAGGTCTTTTAAACTCAGCCCTGTAATTGGTTGAGGGGAATGCGAAACTGTTCCTCCATCTGCGTGTTGTAAATGCTAGGAAGCAAATCCAGGTCCTCACCAAGAGCAGCCATTGCTCTTAACCACTGAACCATCCCCACCCACTCACCAGAAAGTTTTGTCATTTGATTTCTGACTGGGGTGAGATACAATCTTAATGTCGCTTCCATTTGCATCTCCCTTTTGAGTAAATACGTAAGTACTTTTCTGCACACTTACTGGCCATTGGCACCTTCTTCTGGAAAGCGTCTGCTGTCTGCATAGCTCACACTCACAGCGTTTAGTTCACACACACAGGTATTGACTGGATTAGCTGCTCTTCCAGTGTCTACTTTCTGCTGATACTAACACTGAAATTTTCTTTACTTCTTAGAAAATTGTGTTTAATCATTTGGTTCATCTGTTCAACTCACATTTGTTTTCAGTTGGTACTTTGTTTTTTATTTTTCTTTTCAACTATCTCTACTCTAACCACTGTTTTCTTTCTCATAGTAGTTATTTTCCCAGCACATTAATTCTTTTCCTTAGTTTGCTTTTTGTTCTAATAAAGATTATTGCCTGGATTGCTTTCCCTTTCTTTAAGGGAAATATTTATAAGTATAAATTTCCCCTTACCTCTCTTTTGGTAGCATCTTTTGGGGTTAGCATGGTGTATTTTTATTCATCTCAATATTTTCTGCTTTACTTCCTCATTTCTTCTGATTTGTTGCTCATTTAACCTAGTCTAGCCACCATGCTTTGTAGTAGTGACCTCTAGGCTACGGGCAGGGTCCCAAACCCAGGGTTCTGACTTAGTTTCATCATTTCCTCCTGTGCCATAGCCAACATCTAGGAAGGAACACAAGGAACCCTTTATGCTGCCCCCATCACCCCACTCCACAGGCTGATTTTCTACATCCCCCTCCAGTGTCTAGCCTGATAAACCACTGACTCCCAATCTTTAACACCATATAAACTGGGCATGGCTTTATCTCAGAACCCAGAAGATAGAAGGGGGGGGGGAGGGGATCAGAAGTTCAAGGTCATCCTCAGCCACATAGCAAGTTTTAGGCCAGCCTGAGATAGATGAGACCTTGTCTCAATTTCGTTTACTAGATTATTATTTGGCCAAGTTAGTGGTCTTATGAAGTTTTCTAATAAATCTCTTTAGTCAGACTGTAGAAACCATTTAAGAAAAAAGTTTAAACAGAATTATAGTAGTTATTTTCATATTCAATTTGTCATACGCATTATATTGACATACAATTTGACTTTGATGCAAACTGATACATTTCAGTGAATATTCCGAAATATCCTCCATCTTCTCCCGTGCATCTATACACACTGGGAAGGGCTTGCCCCTCTTTCAAGTAGGAAATGAAGAATGTTTGAGGAGGTGGTTAAAAGCTTCTTAAGGGACTGATTAAACTAAAACATGATGATCCTGAGCGCATGAAAAACTGGTGAGAGGGTTCAGCTGAAGCAGTAAGACTTGTGTTTATAAATGTAACGTACCATAAAAAAAATAAATGTAACGTACCAAAACTTCGTGAATTTGAAAGACATCGGGGAGGGGCATATGCGAAAGTTTGAAGGGAAGGAAGGGAAGGGGAAAGTGTTTTAATTACAGTATAATCTCAAAAATAAATAACAATTACACAAAGAAAAAAGACAGATCATCATTCTTTGGCTTACACGATGATGGCAGACTTTAATGGGATGAGTGAATTAAAAGTGTACACGATGGAATCATACAAAGATGGGAGAGGGTAGGCTACAAGGGTGGTCAGTATGCATTATGTACATTTGGACAATTACTAAAGAACAAATTTGGTAAAAATATTTGGAAATAGAAAGTATATTTTGTTGTGAAGAAAAAGAGAAAGAGGACAGCTATTGCTGGGCCTAAAACGTTGTGGAAGAGCATTGGTATTGGTTTGCAGCAAGAGTTTGGAAAACGTTGGCCAACCAAACTCAAGAAAGCCTATAATGCTGCAAGTGACTTCAGGGGTGACTCTGTGATGGTTCAATGGATTAGAATGCTGACCAATAACAGCCAGGCTGATGAGATTTCAGATAAAGATGAGCAATCTGACAGAAATTGTTCTACAGGCCACTCATGTTCCACTGTGGCCACTAATCTGGAGGCATCTTGTCCATTTCAGATATTTCTGTGGGAAGCCTAACTTAAAATTGACAGACTAGTTTATCTGCTAGAGGAAACTACAAAATATATTGCAGCATGTGGGTTTTACTGTCTGCTTCTAGTAGGACTGCCAGAGTCAGGGCAAAGACAATTCAGGGGGGAACGGTATTAAGACGTGTGGTTTACTGAAAAAATAAGCACAAATGAAGTATCAGTCTAAGAGGATGTCTTAGTTCCTTTTCTTGTGGCTCTGATAAAACACCCTGACAAAAGCAACTTCTGGGAGAAAGCATTTATTTTGGCAAACAGTGTGAAGGGACAGTCTCCTGTGGCAGGAATGCGGGTGGCAGGAACTTGTCTACACGTTACATCTGCAGTCAGGAAGCAGATTACGATGAGCTTGGGTGTGCAGCTGCCTCTTTCCTTCTTGAGCGGTTCAGGACACAAGGTCAGGGAATGGCACCATCACGATGAGGCTGGTTCTTCTCACCTCGGTTAACTTAACCACAGTACTCCCTCCCAGGCCTGCCCAGAGGCTTGTCTCTTAGTTGGTTCCAGATACTGTCAAATTGATAATCAACACTAACATCATAGATGGTACAGTTGTAATCATTAGTGCCATTGAAAGTTAAAAGTAAAAATAAATCAGCTTGGAAATTTAGAATACAGACTTCTGTACATTTAAATAACAGGTCACATGTTAGGAAAATCATTTGAGGAAACACAAATTAGATTCTGTGAGACACAGTTTGAGGTTAGTTCTTCATAATAACAGAAAGCAAGTGTTTTGCAATCACAATAGGAAATATTCCTCGAAAGTGTCTCAGGAATTAGTAGGTAAAAAAGGTACAAATTTAATTTTTTTTAAAAAAGAAATTATTTAGAATTACCTGGGGTGGAACTTTTTAGCTCACAAGATTGTCTTCTTCCTGGTTTTTCTTTGATAAAAAAATAACATAATTTGAAAACTGACTGTTGTTGAAGCATGCTTATTTGTCTGCATAACAATAAAATAGCTTTTATTCTGTAAAAAGTTGATACACTTATACAATCTCTATTGATCCTATCCTCTTAGGAATGATGGTTCTAAGAGTGTGAAAAACTGGCGTGAAGGTTCAGCTGAAGCAGCAAAACTTGTGCTTGTAAATGTATCATGCCAAAACTGTGTGAGTCTCTCCGGGGATTGGAGCAAAGCATTGTCAGAAGTACAAGGACATAGAGTGCTTGCTAATCTTTCATAAAAGATATTTCCATAGCCTTAGATATTGATGAATGATTAAGTAATAAGAAAAGTAACCTAGGATCAATTAATTGTCTGTTTTAAGGGGGATGGCCTCAAAGAAAATTAGATAAGAATGAACTAAAGACCATTTTCTGTAATGCGTAACTTCTGTATGAATTTATCCATAATTTACTCGATTGGGGAGGACACAGCAGGGAAAGTAGACAACATATTCACAATAAACAAGATGTGAAAACAATTTAAATATCTGGTGGATTAATGGATAAAGAAAATAAGGCAGGCACAGAAAGACAAATGTCACATAATATCACACATATGTAGACCCTAAAATAGTTGATCATATAGAAGGTGGTTATGAAGAGGTTACGGTGGTGAATGGTTGTGAGGTTGGTCAAGGGATACAAAATTTCAGTATTAAAATAGGGTGAGTAAGTTCATGAGATCAGCTATGCTATACAGTGTCTATAATTAACAATACATTATGTTCTTGAAAACACTAAGACAGTAAATGTTAGGTGTTCCTATTACAGAACGGCTAAATATAGGAAGTAATAAATACTAATTACTTAGAGTTAGTCATTTTATTATATATGTGTGAAATATAATGCATGTTTCAAAACATGCTGTACACATAAATGTAAAATTTTTAATTGTGGATTTGAAAAAATAAATGTGATTAAAGTGGCATGAGAATACCTAATTCCTGTGAAGGAGTATATTCTTATACTAATTATTAGCAGCTTAAAAGCAATGCATATTTATTACCTCACTTAATTTAAATCAGGCATCCAGGCAAGCCTTAATGGGTTCCTCTTCATCAAAGCTTTATCAGATACTAGTAAATTCATGACCAGATAATAAAACGTGATGTTTTTAGAAAGATTCAATTCGATGCAACCTGCTAGAGCCTCAGTTAGTTGTTGATTTTTGTCTAGACGATACCTGCATTTCCTTCTGAAGATGTGGGCCTCTCTATAGGACACAACATGGCAAAGTTCTTCGTCGGAATGAGCAAATGCGAGACCAGAAGTCTGATCGTGGCAGAAGGCACAGTCATATGATAATCTTGGAACTGGCATTTCATTATTTTTGACATTAGAAGCAAGTCACTAGGTCAAGCATTTATTGAAAGGGAGAAAAATTTATAGAATATCACTAACATGAAGTAGAATCCTTGAGAATGAACAAAGACATAAACACCATTGATTGGCCTACTTTCCAGAGCTTCACAGTGAAATGAAATATTAGATCTGTCCTAGATGAGTAATGATTGAGAAAATTCTACATTGGTACTTTGTCAGAAGTACTGGTACTAAAGCGTACTACTATGTTATCAATGAAAGAAGGCATTATCTGGAGATAGAACTATGTCTTCTCATGAATAAAACATTTACAAAAGGATAGAAGTCTCTTAATATATCAATTCTGATTGCTCTCTTCTGGAGTGAATCAACCTTAACACAGAAACAGAGAATCTTCTCCTGTCCCATGTCATGAAGTAGACTCCAACTTGAATATTCTAAGTATATAAGTGATACATCATTCAACTCAGAGACTACTTATATCCCCACAACAAATGATACTATGACAGGAAGGAACGTTGCTTCTCATAGTCATAGCATTTAAGTAGTGTCTTCTGAAATCTGTGTAGCATCTTTACTCAAAAAAAATTTTAGCAACTGTGCCAGGGACAGGGTCACAATGTGTCAGATAATAATAACATTTTATTGTGGATATATAAAAATTACCCGGAGCTGCAGGTAATTAAATGTAAAACAAACATTAATCAAAAATTAGGAATAAATGGGTAAATTAACTCGAGGCTGGAATAGCCTTTTGGGAACTTTGAAAACCATATATTAATTGTACAAAGCAACGAGCTTCACTCTGACATTGTCATCTACAAAAGTATATAGAATCTTAGAAAGCCAAAAACTCTAAATGAGTCGATAATCACGATTCATGTATTTTGCGGTAAATTTGAAAACATTTACACTGATGACATTTTAAAATAAAATCCCATTCTTTGTTAAGGTAAAATTATGTCATTTGCAGGGAAGTGGATGCAAGCGAAGTTATCATATGACATGAGTTTACTCAGACTCAGAAGGACAAATGTCACATTTTAAAAGTGTTTCTGTATCTAGATTTTATCTAGAAACATGACATAATGTATGTATATGTGATATTAAATTAGAAAGGGAACTGATGATGAATAAGAGGGACTGAAGGGAATAGGCAGGGCCAGAAAGGGGAATGGCATTGGATTAGGGAGAACACGGTTAAAGTCCATTTTATTGATTGGTTCGTCTCTGAAGCACTTGCTTTGCAAACATGGGGACCTGAGTTTGATTCCCCAAATTCACCATTAAAAAAAAGTATGGAAGCATGTGCTTGTAATCCTAGTGCTGGAGAGGCAGAGGCAGGAGGATTCTGGGCCTTTCCAGCCAGCCATTCTAGCTAATTTGTGAGCTTCAGGCCAATGAGAGAGCCTGTTACAAATGTGGTGGGTAACATTCTTGAGAATGACACCTGAGATTGTACTATGGTCTCCACATGCACATGGACATACAGACTCACACATGTGTGCAAAAGTATACACGCATATATAAACACACATGCACACAAATATGCACACAAGCATAAAAAGTACAATATCAAATAAACAAATGACAACATATCCTGGTATGGATGTGGGGAAAAGAAAACAACTTATACACTGCTTGGGGGAGTGCAAGCTGGCATGACCACTATGGAAATCAGTGAGGGGGTTCTCAAAAAATAGAAAATAGATCTACTACGTCATCCAGTTATACCACTCCTGGATTACTCAAAGGATCCTATATCCTATTACAGAGATACGCATTCATCTATATTCACTGCTGCTTTACTCACAATAGCCAGGAAATGGAAACAGCCACGACATCCATCAATTGATGATTTGATAATGAAAATGTGGTACACAATGGAATATTATTCAGCTGTTAAAAGAATGAAATTAACAAGTAAATGGATGGAGCTGAAAATAACCATTCTGAATGAGGCAACCCAGACACAGAAAGATAAACATGGCATGCTTCTTATCATTTCTAGATATTAGCTTTGAACGTTTAGATAGTGGTAGTTCATTTGGAATACCCACAGAGGTCAGGAATTTAGTAAGGAGTTATTAGGAGGAGGGTCTTTCAAGAGAAGGGGGTTAGAACACAGTGCTATAAAAAGTTAAAGATATATAATGGAACAAGAAGCATTACACTGCAGTGGAACATGGAAGGGGAGGGCAGATGATAGAATATGAGGAGGGATAGCTGACATGAAATGCCTTGTGAAAAAGCCATAAGGAAATCTATCATCATACAAGTATTATAAGATATAGCCATACAGATATATAAAGTCTTGTTAGAATTTTCCTACAATAGAGGTACAATACCCCAAAGAGACATCTCATGTTAGCAAACAAATCCCCAACACCAGGAATAGGTTACCTCTTTTTAAGTTGTTGGCCAATGGGGGTCACATAGTCCTCCCCCCAGAATAACAGACAATTCCAGTACTCTTGACTACCCTCCAGAACTTGCTGATTACGACCTGACTGTTACAGACACTGCACATTTGAGTCCCCAAACATGGAGAAATCACGGTGGTACTCACCTGGAACCTTCATCCCTATTGGCTGACTTTGATGGCGCTGGAAGGTGCTATGCCTACTGCTAGAAGAGAAAAGTAAACCCACAGTACCAGCCATCTGTGAAGCTACGAGGACTGGTCTAACCAGATATGACCTCTGGTGTGATGGTGGCGCAAATGTTAGGAGAGGATCTAAGTCCTGTTCCATGAAATGCTATCCATACCTGTCACCATTAAAAAGGCCAAAATCCTGAGTTAGATATGTCCTAGGGGAGAACCCCATACTATTATTCTGCTAAATGGACAATTCTTAGTGACTTTTCTTTCTTTTTTTTTTTTTTTTTGCTATTCCCATAGAGCAGAGCTTCTCTCAGCTCTCATCAGGGAAGCTTCTCCTTACAGTAGATGGCAGTTAACACAGACTCCCAGCTAGCCAGTGTGCAGAGAATAAGAGACTGTGTGGTGCTAAGCACTAAAGGGGTTTACATATTACACACACACACACACACACACACACACACACACACACACACACAAACGGCCAAGGCTCAGGGATCTTTGTGGAAGCAGCGGAAGGAATCGCCAGAGGTGGTTGATAACATCTGTTTTCCAGATACAACAGAGCAGTTGTACATACGGACTTACAACAATTGTGACCGACTGACTACTGCACAAGCTCCAGCCAAACAAAATTCTAGGACAAAGATGGGAAGGTGGGCACAAAATCCCACCAGTAGCTGAGGCGAGAGAGTCAGTTCTCTTGAATGAAGCAAGGTTGACCACATACCACTGTAGACCACACTCTGGAGACTAGCTAGGCTGCGCAGACTGACCTCGATGGAGAAAGATGAAGAAGAAAGAGAAGGAGGAGGAGAAGACTTCTCAAAATTGAGTGGGAAGGGATGGGATAGTTAAAGAGTGGTTATAGGAGGAGTTGGGGGCGGGTTAGGGTGAAATTGTCCAAACTACATTGTACAAAATTCTCAGATAATTATTAAAACTATTGTTTAAACAAGTACATTATATATTTGCATGCAAATGTCCTTATGGAGCTCAGTGGATGTGGAGTGTGTAAGAACACTCTCTCTGGAAGCATGAGTCCCCAAGTTCTAATATCACACAAATATACACATGGCCCTCACACCTGGAGCAGTAGCATTGAGGGACAGAAACAGGTGGGTCCCAGGAGCTTGCTAGCTAGCCACCTTAGATGAAACTGCATGTTGCTGGTTCAGTGAGAGACCCTGTCTTAAAAAATAAGGATGATCTAAAGGTCTTCCTCTGGCTTCCCCTCATGCATTCATGGGCATTTGTTCCTACCCTCATGTGGATGCACTGCACAAATGTACCCAGTCTCTCTCTCTCTCTCTCTCTCTCTCTCTCTCTCTCTCTCTCTCTCTCTCTCTCTCTCTCTCTCACACACACACACACACACACACACACAAACTTCATGAAACTCCATGCTGTGTACAATGAATATACACCAATAAAACATTAAATCTACTAAATATTAAAATTGAGCCTGGGGATATAGCTAAGTACTTCCCTAACATGCATGAAGCTCTGGGTTTGATCCCCAGCAACACAATGCGCAATAACAAAAATGACAACAATACCTCCCCCCTGCAAATGGCTGTGGTAGCCCTGCCTGTAATGCCATCACTAGGAGTGGAGGCAGGAGGATCAGAAGTTCAAGGTTGTCTTCAGATATATATTTTACAAAGTCAGCCCGGGATACATGAGAAGAAAGACAATGAGCAGAATATACATAATAAACTAAAATTAGTCCAAACCAAATGGGAAAAAATACATAAATCATTCCAAGAAACTGAAATGGTGGAAACCCTGTAAGTCTTATTAAAATTAGGAATGTTGTTCTCTGACAAAGATGTGCTGCCAATGACTAGCAAACTAACTACAAGGATTATCTATTGATTATATACTGGATGTATTGATCAAATAAGTTCATTCTAAACTGTATTTAAAAAAATTCCTAGTAATTAGTTTTGCCCGAAACACAGCAAAATCTATTCATTTTGTCCTATACCTGGAGACTGCATTCTTCTCAATACTTTATGTTGCACTCCTGCATTCATAGACACAAAAACACACATATTCACATGCACATACACACATGCACACATGAATATATATGTAAAATAGATTTTCACGAAATCTTTGCAAATTAAAAGCATAGAAGAGAAAGTTGTACACTACCCCTATACATACCATTCAAGCACCACACCTCAGCAGACTCTGGAAAGTAAACCTGAAGCTTACAGAGATACTGCTTTAAGAAGAAGTATGAAATTGTAAATACAAAATTATATATGTCAGTTAATTTTTATTCACAATGAAACTCATAATAATGCTTTACTTTTTTTTTCATTAAAAAAATTGAACTGGATGTGGTGGTGCATGCTTTTAATCCCAGCACTCAGGAGGCAGAGGCAGGTGGATCTCTGGCAGTTCAAGGCCAGCCTGATCTACAGCAAGTTCCAGAAGAGTGAGAACTACATAGTGAGATCCTGTCTCAAAAAATAGTAATTGAAATACAATTACATCACTTCCCCCTTCCCTTTCCTTCCTTTAACCCTTCCTATGTCTCCTCCTTCCAGTCTCTTCCATGTCCTCTCTTCACTCCCTCTCAAATAGATTGACTCTTTTTCTTTGAGTATTATTGTTACATATATATGCATAAATATATAAATATATGCATAAATATATAATATACCTTGCTGGCTAAAAACCAACATAAAATGTTAGAAAATCTACAAAAATACATATTAAATACATTTTCTGAAATCTCTTACTTTGTACTTGTGTGCTATTGCTCTTTGTTTCATATAAAAATTGCATAATATCAAATATCATTAACTTTTAGTTATTGATAATTGAGATATACAAATAATGAAAATTCATATTTGAGTACATGCTATAAATTAGGCACTACAATAAATTCTTTTCAATCAATTTCTATTTTTAAAAATACAAAAAATATAGCTCATGCATAATTAGTTTCAGAATCAGCTAGTAATATGACAGCCAAATCTAGGTAAAACGCCTGAATATCTACTCAGTCGCAAGTAACCATGCAACATAGAAAGTTGCATACAAAAAGCAGAATAATATTTTTGTGTAATTGAATAGTCTATGATATATAAAGAGGACATTCAACTTAACGTCATTTTTATTACATTACCTACTTTTCTTTTTGTTCATTCTTCTCTCATACAACACATCTTGACCACAGCCTCCTCTCCATCTACCCCTCCCAGTTGCTCCCACCTTCCCACTCCCCCAGTCACTTGCTCCTCTGTTTCCCTTAGAAAAGACCAGTTTTATTTTCTTTATAAATTAGTATACTTTGCTTAATTTTTGTTGTGTTTTGTTTTTGTTTTTCAAGACCAGGTTTCTCTGTGTGGATCTCTGTTCTGAATCTCACACTGTAGAGCTGACTTCCAACTCTCAGAGATCCATTTTCCTCTGTCTCCAGATGTACTGGAATTAAAGGCGCACACCACCAAGGCCTGACACTTTTCCTTAACTGTTTTTGTGACAGGGTTTTTCTGTAGCTTTGGAGCCTGTCCTGGAACTAGCTCTTGGTAGACCAGGCTGTCCTTGAACTCACAGAGATCCGCCTGCCTCTGCCTCTTGAGTACTGGGATTAAAGGTGTGTGCCACCACCGCCCAACTTTCTTAACTTTTAAATTATAAACTTGGTACTGGTATCATTTGGAATTCTTTTCTTTTTTCTTTTGGCGGGGGAGTGAGGAGTATCGAGACAGGGTTTCTCTGTGTAGCTTTGGAGCCTGTCCTGAAACTCACTCTGTAGAGCAGGCTGGCTTTGAACTCCCAGAGATCCATCTGCCTCTGCCTCCCGAGTGCTGGGATTAAAGGTATGAGCCACCACCGCTTGACTGGAATGTTTATACACATATGTTATTATACTTTGTGTTTTTTTTAAAAAAAGATTTATTTATTTATTATGAACACAATGCTCCTCTGCATGTATGCATGCCTGCAGGCCAGAAGGGAGCACCAGATCTCATTACAGATGGTTGTGAGCTACCATGTGGTTGTTGGGAATTGAACTCAAGCCCTTTGGAAGAACAGCCAGTGCTCTTAACAACTGAGGCGCCCTTCCAGACCCTGTACTTTGCTCTTGTTCACTGTTTCCTTAACTATCCTCTCCCATTCCTCTCGTTCTCCATGGTTAGTGGTCCTTTTCTTTCCCCAAGTCCCTTCTCCTTTCATGGCATATGCATTTCATTTCCCTTACCCTTTTAGGGTTCATTTTTACCTCCATGCCCCCATGCACAATTTGTAATCTTGGTGGTGTAATATGAGATAG